TACATGATTACATATGTGTTATTTCATTGTTTTGATGTCTTCACTATTATTCTACAATGTAGAAAATAGTCAAAATAAAGAAAAACCCTTGAATGAGTAGGCATGTCCAAACTATTGACTGGTACTGTATAAGTAGGCTCAATCATTATTATAATTGAAAATTATAAATCAAAGTGCCTTAACATTGTAACACGTAACCTACCGATTGCAAGGTGCAGCCAGTGTCCAAGACGTTGGAGTCTGGTCCAGTCTTTCAACGCGACATTCAATGATTCAACTTCTCCCTTAATTATGTTATACAGTGTTGGTATGGCAACTTGGAAGAAATATGTGCGAGATGGAATGTTGTATCTCCTGTCCAGCTTGTTGATAGACTTCTTGAAGCTGTCTGCTGACTGTGTAGATAGGAACCATGTCTTTGGTTATGTTATGGGGGATAGCCTCAGTGATTTCTATGTGTCTGTGGGATGTTTTTTTATTCAAATGATTGAATGCATTTGTAGTGTTGTTGCCACAACTCTGAGGCACTTTTTGCACAACACTTGCATTTGGTTGACATCGGTTTGCCTGTAGCCGAAATACTGCCATACTCATTAGCAGTGTGTGGGTAAATCACCTCGGAAGCCAAGCCAGGGGGAAAAATACATATTACAACCTATGTGTTGTAATAATTGCATTGTTTGCTCTATAACCTGTTAGTTCAATCATATGCCTTGACACCGTGATATATAGGCCTAAGGCCGAGACAATAAGAAGACAGTGGCAGAATAAATTCAACCACACCTTTGTTTCATCACAAAACCGGAGGGCCACATCTGTCCGGTGAAGTCCACAAAACATATTGTATGTAACTAACCGTTACATGACCTACAGCATGGCCAAGCAAGTTAATATTTTCGGACTACAAAACAACTTGATTTAGAATCACAGAGAGTTACCGCAAGTCAAAAAGAAAACAGACTCCATTATCCAGCACCATTTCAAAAAGATAACAAAAACTATTTAATCCAATAAACGTAAGCTAAATATGATGTGGCTGTCCATTGTTCTGATTTCTGTGCGTACTTGCAAGTAGAAAACAAACATGTTGATTCGCCCTACTTGTAGAGTAACGCCAATGCCATCCTCCTCTTTCATGTTGCCTAAACGTTCTATGACTCTGTCATACAGTACACACTTTTTATGTTTTTGTTGTCCTAGGCTACCTGGCTAAAATGCTTGCTTGCTAAACTTCATTTCATGGGCAATGATACGCCAGGTAAACTAGTTAACATTAGCATACTACATCAAGCTACATTTTTAACTTCCATCCTCTCAGGCAAGGGGCACAATGTATGAATTTATGGTTGGATCAGAATTGCCGTTATAATCATTGGCCAGTACAGAGAATTAAGTAAAACCACAAGTCCAAATCCCTATCTCCATCCATGGCTAGTTTAGGAAAGAGACGATTTTAGCTAGCTGGCTAGCCACCGGAGGACAACAACACAAAGAGATGCAACAATTCAATGACGTTTGTCTTCTGATGTGATTGGATGTGATTGGTGCGAAGCCAAATCCAAACTGGCTTCCCTTGACACTTTTAGTTTTTTGGTGCGCCAGGACCATTCACAGCAGAGCTCACTCAGTTTAGCCCAACACTGATTGACTTTTTTATTGAATTATCAAGGGAGGCCAAATGCTCGCTGGCTTCCCTTGCATTCATGCTACGGGCGGCAACAATGTCATCCTCTTTTTAACCAGACAGCATCAGATAGATGGGCTACACAGACTGTTTCGTTCGCTAGGAAGCTTTCTCCGCTGAGATACATTCAGTCTCTTGAGAATTGAAGGAAATTTATGAAACCCAGAGAGACAAAAGATCAATAATATTGTATGTTTTTTGGGGGAAGCCTGGCTTCCCTTGGCATCCATGAATACACGCCACTGGCCATACCACTGAAGATGCGCCCTTCTTTGGCACCAAATCGATGGTCTTGTTAGCACTAGCAGCACTCATGTTTCCGACAAACACTCTGAGGTATAGCCCTTTCTCTCCTCACCAGCATCTATCTGTGCGCTCTAAGCGGGGACACTTGTGATTGGACAGCATGTGCATTTTTTAGCAGACGCTCTTATCCAGAGCGACTTACAGTTAGTGAGTGCATACATTTTTCATACTGGCCCCCCGTGGGAAACAAACCCACAACCCTGGCGTTGCAAGCGCCATGCTCTACCAACTGAGCTACAGGGGACTGCCATGCATAGAGTGAGAGAACCCGCTTGTGATTTGTCAGCATCTTCTGTATGTAGAGAGGGAATGAACAGAGTCTAGTGCATCTCATTGGAGGGGGTGTCTAAGAAAGGAGAAAATCACAGCCTTGCAATATGGATATTGCACATGTCAATATCGCATTTCTGATTTGAATTTGGTTAATCGTGCAACCCTACTAGCTAGCTAGCTAACATTGACCAGACCAGGGCTCTCCAACCATGTTCCTGGAGGGCTACCGTCCTGTAGATTTTCACTCTAACCCTAATATAGCACACCAGATTCTAATAATTAGCTGGTTGATAAGCTGAATCAAGTTAGTTACAACTGGAGTTGGGGCGAAAAACCTACAGGAGGGTAGCTCTCCAGGAACAGGGTTGGCGAGCCTGACCATCAAGCAACACACACGGATATGCATTGCCAAACAACACTACTGCCACGTTCTGGTTTGGAGTATTTTAACAAGGCTGAGTGGCTGACGACGTCAAGGTCTTTGCTGTGTGAACACAAAAGAGATTGACTGCTGACACTGTTCAGAGGTGCAAAGTACTGTCGGCAGGCAAACGTTTGACAGTCCTACCGGTGTGTCTGAGCCATTTGATGAGTACTCTGGATGTAGAGTTAGGATTCGTCAGTATTACAAATAGAATATATGCAGTCAATGACAAAATGTCCTCTGTCACAGACCCACACAGCCCCTAAAATTAAATGGATCCTGAGCTCCTAGAAATGCTGGGGCAAGTCAGAGAACTGTCCAATAAGCCATTATAGTCTCTGAGCCCCAGGTCTATTTCCACACGCCGGGCCTGCACCAGGGGACATCTCTCTCTCGCTCTCTTTTTCTCTCTCTGTCTCCCTCTCTCTCGCTCTCTGTCTCTGTCTCTGTATGTCTCTCTCTCTCTCCCTCTCTTTAAGCCTCCCTCCCTCCCTCTCTATTTAAAGGCTAGGAATTGTTCCACATGCCAGGGAGAGCCGTCCCAGGCCCGGCCGCTCACATGGCTGGAGTTAAGGGGGGACAGATGACGCTGTGAGGACACCCTCCCTCCCCCCTAGTTGACTCCACTCGACCCTCCCTCCACATTCCTTGTGGTAGTAACTTTTTAAATGTTTCAAAAACGTTTTCGTCCTACAAACAAAACCCAGGGTCTTAAGTAGCATGGAGGCCCTCACCACACCCACATCCCCCCAGACTGTGTGCGTGTGTGTGTGCGTGCGTGTGTGCGTGCAGTATTTATAAACTACCCCTTCTCTATATACTACCAGCCGACTGTGGTGGAGTGTAGACAGGGCCTGGACAGGACAGGCAGGAGGTCTGCCTTATATCACTGTGACTTGTTTTGGAAGGAGATGTTGAATGACCATGCCCGGGAGGCCATCCCTCTGGGAGGTTGTTGAATGACCATGCCCGGGAGGCCATCCCTCTGGGAGGTTGTTGAATGACCATGCCCGGGAAGCCATCCCTCTGGGAGGATGTTGAATGACCCTGCCCGGGAGGCCATCCCTCTGGGAGGTTGTTGAATGACCATGCCTAGAAGGCCATCCCTCTGGGAGGTTGTTGAATGACCATGCCTAGAAGGCCATCCCTCTGGGAGGTTGTTGAATGACCATGCCCGGGAGGCCATCCCTCTGGGAGGTTGTTGAATGACCATGCCCGGGAGGCCATCCCTCTGGGAGGTTGTTGAATGACCCTGCCCGGGAGGCCATCCCTCTGGGAGGTTGTTGAATGACCATGCCTAGAAGGCCATCCCTCTGGGAGGTTGTTGAATGACCATGCCTAGAAGGCCATCCCTCTGGGAGGTTGTTGAATGACCATGCCTAGAAGGCCATCCCTCTGGGAGGTTGTTGAATGACCATGCCCGGGAGGCCATCCCTCTGGGAGGTTGTTGAATGACCATGCCTAGAAGGCCATCCCTCTGGGAGGTTGTTGAATGACCATGCCTAGAAGGCCATCCCTCTGGGAGGTTGTTGAATGACCATGCCCGGGAGGCCATCCCTCTGGGAGGTTGTTGAATGACCATGCCCGGGAGGCCATCCCTCTGGGAGGTTGTTGAATGACCATGCCCGGGAGGCCATCCCTCTGGGAGGTTGTTGAATGACCATGCCCGGGAGGCCATCCCTCTGGGAGGTTGTTGAATGACCATGCCCGGGAGGCCATCCCTGTTACCCCGTACATCAGAGGCAGAGCTCCACTAGTCATTGTGTCATTTGCTTGTTATTCTGTCTATTAGCAGACTCATCTTCTCTCCCAGCTGTGTTGCATTTGGGAGAACGCTGCTATGGAGGGCAATAAGACACATTGAGTTCATTAGCCTAGTAGTTATGACCTTTCCCTTGTTTATTATTATTAATTAATTCTATGGTATAAATCGTTGGGTTGTTTGCTGGAGGCAGACAGAGGCTATGTTCCAATGTTCATACTGTGCTAGCATATTACTTAGAATGCATGGCCAGCCCAATAGATAGCTTCATTCTAAGTAGTATGCCTGTGTGGATATATCGGAACATAGACAGACAGTTTTGGTAAAAAGATTTAAAACTAAAAGGGATAGTTCAGCAATTTTACATATTTTGATCATGAGGTTTCAAGGTAAGTAAACAAATGTCTAAACATGTAATCACTGAACATTCCCTTTGAGCTTGTATTTAGCAAGTGAACTGAATTCTTGGCTTAATTAGATTCTATAATAACACATGAAAACCATTTCAAACACATTCAATTGATTGAATTTATTTTCCTTCTTTTCCGCAGGATTCCATGAATGCCTTGGTCCTGGATCTGGACTACCCGGCTCTACGGAAAAACAAAAACATAGATGCCTTCTTAAACAGATGTAAGATAGAATTGCTTTAAGGCAGACCTTGGTAATAAGATGCTTTGCATTATCTAAGGTAGCAAGAAAGAGGGAGATTGCAAAAGCAAGCCAGCACGATGGATGCGTTGCTATGGTGATTTCAGAAACAGTGCAAATCAACATCCAGTAGAAAACAACGCTACGGCAAAAGTAAAAATATTTGAACACTGGTGGCAAGTCCCATCTACCGTGGCGGCTGACGGCATTCACCGCCAGGCTCAACAGCATTTACCTTCGTGCTCTCATTGAAAACAATGACATCCGGTTTGCCGTCTACCTCGTACCATCTACACGCAGCTGAAGCATGGAGATATCCAGAGCACATAAATGTAGCTATATGAATTGGGACTGGTAAACTGAAGTGGTACAGAGTTAGCTCTCAGTTGACTTCATATCTCCTTAATTCCCGGCTACTTTCAACATCGTAATCCATTGTCATCCTTAGGGTGCATTTGTAAATTCACTCTGGTGTGTCAGTGCGCTCTGGGCCATTCATAATTCAGAGTGTTGTCAGATAGTCCTTGTTCAGAGCGCACACTGGACGCTCTGGCTGAGGCGTAGGGTTTATCCAAGCATTCTGACCTCACAACAGCAGTCAAGGACCCAAGCTAACTGGCTAAAGTTGCTTAGCTTGCTAGCTACTTTCAGACACAAATCGAGAGCTTGGGACTATAAGGGTCATCTGCATTTTTGTGAAAATGTAATAATTGACATAGCCTTGTTCTGTATTAATGTTCTCTTCTCAAACGATATACTACCCCCCCCGCCCCCTTTAAGGTGTCTAAAGCGTTCCACAGGGATGCTGGCCCATGTTGACTCCAATGATTCCCACAGTTATGTCTAGTTGGCTGGATGTCCTTTAAAATAAATAAATTGGTCATTTAGCAGACGCTCTTATCCAGAGCGACTTACAGGAGCAATTAGGGTTAAGTGCCTTGCTCAAGGGCACATCGACAGATTTTTCACCTAGTCGGCTTGGGGATTAGAACCAGCGACCTTTCGGTTACTGGTACAATGCTCTTAACCACTAAGCTACCTGCCGACCCCAGAGGCTTTGGGTGGTGGACCATTCTTGATACACACTGGAAACTGTTGAGTGTGAAAAACCCAGCAACGTTGCAGTACTTGACACAAACCGGTGTGCCTGGCACCTATTACCATACCCTGTTCAAAGGCTCTTTTGTCATGCCCATTCATCCAAGTTTCAATTGTCTCAAGGCTTAAAAATCCTTCTTTAACCTGTCTCCTCCCCTTCATCTACACTGATTTTAAAGGGGGTTCAATAAGGGATCATAGCTTTCATCCGGATTCACCTGGTCAGTCTATGTCATGGAAAGATCAGGTATCCTTAATGTTTTGTACACTCAGTGTAGTCCAAAGCTATCGTAATGAGAGAAGAACATATTCTGATCATTTTACTCACCCTATCAGAGCTGGTTAGACTGTTTTCATGTTATTAGGAGGTTTAGTGACTGTAACCGTGCTACTGGCAACAATTTCATTCCGTTTTTTAGCCAACGTTTACCAACACCTGTCATAACAGAGTTTAGTGCATTCGTAAATTGATCAATTATTCTGCACTCTGGTGCACTGTCAAACCAGAGTGCTCTGAAATTGGATTGTTTTGCCTGTGTGAATGTACAAACTCACCCTTAGTTACGGGTTTATAACAATTAACTACAGTTTCTGTATCAACCCTGCCTTGCAATATTTCATATAATAATAATAATAATAATAATAATAATAATAATAATAATAATAATAATAATAATAATAATAATAATATGCCATTTAGCAGACGCTTTTATCCAAAGCGACTTACAATCATGCGTGCATATATTTTTACGTATGGGTGGTCCCGGGGATCGAACCCACTACCCTGGCGTTACAAGCGCCATGCTCTACCAATTGAGTTACAGAGGACCACTATATAATAACCAGTATGAAACCCGACCCATAACATATAGTATCACCCTTACTGTAGCAATTAGTGATACAACACAGGTAGACGAGCAACTTAATGTAAAGTGTTACCAACCTTCTTCCCTCTCACTAGCCTGGACTCGCTCTGGAGAAGAGCGTCTGCTAAATGACTAAAATGTAACAACTGCACATTTTAAATTTATACATTTGATTATTATTATTATTATTATTATATTTTTTATATTAAATATTTAACCTCTGTGAGGCCCTTGCTGACCTGTCCTTTGAACACAACCATTTGTGTGGGCCTCTGTTGCCATGGTAATCCATGTGACCTCTGACCTCTGTCTGTCCTGCAGATGAGAAGGCCATGGTTAAGATGCGGGATCTGCAGTTGAAGCTGGAGGACTTTGACAGGGTCAAGATGATCGGCAGAGGAGCCTATGGAGAGGTGCAGCTGGTGAGAAACTCCCTCTGTGTGTACTTGTGTTTGCACCGCAAAGATACAATGATATATAAACAGATTGAGAACATTTACATTCCTTGCTGCCCGTGTGAGTGCTTGCGTCCGTGTCTTCCTCTTCCAGGTGCCTGCCTGTCTGTACTTTTTCCCTCTGTGTATTTTTCAGCTTCTGTGTACCTTGTAATAGAGGCATGTTTAGACAGGTCCAGTGTGTGTGTGTGTGTGTGTGTGGGGGGGGGAGGGAAAGATTCATTTTGTTTTTGAAGTTGCGTGAAGAGGGGGGGCTGGGGGATCTGCGTGTACATGTTGTTCTGTGGGTGTGTCTTATTATGTTTTTGTGTGTGTTGTCATGTAGTTTGCAGGATGTTATGTTATCAAGGGCCTTCAATGGCATTATCTGCAACTTTGTGTCACGGTTAAAGTGACATTGTATCTTGTGTCTATTGGTGACTGTTTTATGTTATACATTTGTTTTTATACTGCCTTCTTTTGACGGTTTCCCTCGTGAAAGAGATCTTAGATCTCAGTAGCGTCTACTACTTGTATAAATAAAGTGTGTTTCCCTCGTGAAAGAGATCTTAGATCTCAGTAGCGTCTACTACTTGTATAAATAAAGTGTGTTTCCCTCGTGAAAGAGATCTTAGATCTCAGTAGCATCTACTACTTGTATAAATAAAGTGTGTTTCCCTCGTGAAAGAGATCTTAGATCTCAGTAGCGTCTACTACTAAAGTGTGTGTAGCCGCATGTATGTGTGGGGCCGCGTGTGTAATCTTATACCTCATCATGTAACTCCCCTCCTCCAGGTTCGTCACAAGGCGTCTCAGAAGGTGTACGCTATGAAACAGCTCAGCAAGTTTGAGATGCTCAAACGCTCGGACTCCGCCTTCTTCTGGGAGGAGAGAGACATCATGGCCTTCTCCAACAGCCCCTGGGTTGTCCAGGTGAGAGGGAGGGAGAGGGTGAAAGACACACACACGTACAGTACACACTCCTCCCACGTACTCTAAATGTCAATCAATGTAGGCTGTTATTGTTGTGATATCCCATCTATCTGTTTTCCAGCTGTGCTGTGCTTTCCAAGACGACCGCCACCTCTACATGGTCATGGAGTATATGCCCGGTGGCGACCTGGTCACCCTGACCATGAACTACGACATGCCAGAGAAGTGGGCCCGTTTCTACACTGCCGAGGTGGTGCTGGCTCTAGATGCCATCCACTCTATGGGTTTCATCCACCGCGATGTGAAACCGGACAACATACTACTGGACCAAAATGGCCACCTCAAGCTGGCTGACTTTGGCACCTGCATGAAGATGGACTCTGTGAGTTTTGATGCAGGGGAGCTGGAGAATTGGCCTGGGTCTAGGGCAATGCTTCCCAATCCTGGTCCTGGGGACCCAAAGGGGTGCGCATTTAGTTTTTTTCCCTAGCACTAACACACCTGATTCAAGAATCAACTCGTTATCAAGTCTTCACTTGAATCAGGTGTGTTAGTTCTAAGGCAAAAACACAAATGTGCAGCCTTTCGGGTCTCCAGGACCAGGATTGGGAAGCTCTGATCCAGGACCTAGACTGGGCAGGGGGGGGTTTGCTGAGTGAGACTCCATCCTAACCCTAAATGGTATTGTTATGGTAATTATCTCAAACACCAAACTCAAGCCCTAGACCTTACTTTTTTCAGCTTTTGTCTGTAACTTAATTCTAAAATTAGCTAATTTTAGACTATTTCCAAGGCAATTAACTGTCTACTGCTAAAATCTGGTTTTGGGGGAATTTCACTGCTCCAGTGCACCACCATGTGGTGAGACTTTGAATTGTTTAGTTTCAATTTCCCCGTAGAAATTCCATCAGGTTAATTTGCTGAATCATGTCTTACATTTACATTTTACATTTTCATCATTTAGCAGACGCTTTTATCCAGAGAGACTTACAAATTGGTGCGTTCACCTTATGATAGCCAGTGGGACAACCACTTTACTATATATATATATATAATGTTTTTTTTTTTATATATATATTTTTTGTTATTTTTTTTTTGGTTGAAGGATTACTTTATCCTATCCCAGGTATTCCTTAAAGAGGTGTTACAGGACAGGTAAGGTGTGGCAAAAAGCTCTTGGACAAATTTTATGGGCCAGTTTCCCAGACACAGATTAGGCGTAGTCCTAGACAAAAAAATTATGTTGAATGTAGAGTCACCATTGAAAGTGCTTCTTATTCCAGGACTAGGCTTAATCTGTGACACCGGCACAATATGTTTCACTGTTTAGGTTACCTGCTTTAACTATGTCTTCATCTCTGTCTGGCTGTCTCCCCACTTGCCTCTCCGTGTGTCCGTGTCTCTCATTCCAGACGGGCATGGTCCACTGCGACACAGCGGTGGGGACACCGGACTACATCGCCCCCGAGGTGCTCAAGTCCCAGGGGGGGGACGGCTACTACGGACGCGAGTGTGACTGGTGGTCCGTGGGGGTCTTCATCTTTGAGATGCTGGTCGGTGAGTGAGTTTGTCTGATCCTGAATAAGAATGGTGTTGAGGATCTCAATCTGACTGTTGACCTGCTAAAGTTAATTCGCTTAGTTCTGTCATTTGGATTGCCGTTAAGCTACTATATCAAAGATGGTTTGATTAACCACGCTCGGGTGATATGTAACCTTGCCTGAGACCTCAAGACTTGTGTTAGCTTAGCGGGCTAAAAGTCTTGTGGCATGCAGTACACCTAGGTTTAAACCCAGTTGGTCACACTACTAGGCTATTCGTGTTTATTGAAGCCAGTTTAACCTCCCCTGTAAAGCCTAACATAAACCCAAACCCTGTTATTAAAATTTCACCTCTCTTTTTAGGCGACACCCCATTTTATGCCGAGTCACTAGTGGGAACTTACGGGAAGATCATGGATCACAAGAATAACCTCCACTTCCCTGATGATGTGCAGATGTCCAACGATGCCAAGGACCTCATCTGTGCCTTCCTGTCTGACAGGTACAGTATGTTTATATGTTATATTTGAAGTTCTTCAAATAGCCACCCTTTGCCTTGATGACAGCTTTGCACACTCTTGGCATTCTCTCAACCAGCTTCACCTGGAATGCTTTTCCAACAGTCTTGAAGGAGTTCCCACATATGCTGAGCACTTGTTGGCTGCTTTTCCTTCACTCTACGGTCCGACTCATCCCAAACCATCTCAATTTGGTTGAGGTCGGGGGGATTGTGGAGGCCAGGTCATCTTATGCAGCACTCCATCACTCTCCTTCTTGGTAAAATAGCCCTTACACAGCCTGGAGGTGTGTTGGGTCATTGTCCTGTTGAAAAACAAATGACAGTCCCACTAAGCCCAAACCAGATGGGATGGTGTATCACTGCAGATGCAGTGGTAGCCATGCTGGTTAAGTGTGCCTTGAATTCTAAATAAATCACAGACAGTGTCACCAGCAAAGCACCCCCACACCATAACACTTCCTCCTCCATGTTTTACGGTGGGAAATAAACATGCAGAGATCATCCGTTCACCCACACAGCGTCTCACAAAGACACGGCAGTTGGAACCAAAAAACCTCAAATTTGGACTCCAGACCAAAGGACACATTTCCACTGGTCTAATGTCCATTGCTCGTGTTTCTTGGCCCAAGCAAGTCTCTTCTTCTTATTGGTGTCCTTTAGTCGTGGTTTCTTTGCAGCAATTCGACCATTAAGGCCTGATTCACATAGTCCCCTCTGAACAGTTGATGTTGAGATGTGTCTGTTACTTGAACTCTGTGAAGCATTTATTTTGGCTGCAATTTCTGAGGCTGGTAACTCTAATTAACTTATCCTCTGCAGCAGAGGTAACTCTGGGTCTTCCATTCTTGTGGCGGTCCTCATGAGAGCCAGTGTCATCATAGCGCTTGATGGTTTTTGCGACTGCACTTGAAGAAACTTTCAAAGTTCTTGAAATTTTCTGTATTGACTGACCTTAAAGTATTATTGCCATAATGTGGACTTGGTCTTTTACCAAATAGGGCTATCTGCTGTATACCCCTCCCTACCTTGTCACAACACAACTGATTGGCTCAAACGCATTAAGAAGGAAAGAAATTCCACAAATTAACTTTTAAATTGAATTGAAATGCATTCCAGGTGACTACCTCATGAAGCTTGTTGAGAGAATGCCAAGAGTGTGCAAAGCTGTCATCAAGGCAAAGGGTGGCTATTTGAAGAATATCAAATCTAAAATATATTTTGATTTGTTTAACACTTTTTTGGTTACTGCATGATTCCATATGTGTTATTTCATAGTTTTGATGTCTTCACTATTATTCTACAATGTAGAAAATAGTAAAAATAAAGGAAAACCCTTGAATGAGTAGGTGTTCTAAAACTTTTGACCGGTAGTGTATGTGGGAGAAAAGCTGTCCCGCTTTAAACGAAAGTTGCTTAACGAAACCTTCATAGTCCCTTAATAAGACCTATATGCTTCAGGAATCTTTAGCTTGAGCTAATGTCATGCCACATAAAGGGAGGAAACCTTTTGGCAGAGCACCAGACTTAAAGTTATGTATTATGAATTTGCTTATAAATGATTTGTGAAGTATCAATGTAGTGCTTATGAACACTATAAATACTGTTATTAAGCCTTGAACAACAAACAAGGTTGTTCTTGGTTTAAACTGGGACCAGAAAAGTTAAGAAGAAGTTTGAAAAGATGGGAATGAAACCTGAGTGAGTGATTCTTTGATAAATGTCTATTAGATACTTAGCATCACAGAAGTAGTAGTAGTTGATGGGAGTAGAGGTTATTAAGAGGTGGGACGTCAGAGGTATAGTAGACGTCAAACACTAGCCCTTTCTGCCTTCTACTCCCCTTCCTCTCTGCTTATTTTCTCTCTCACTCACTCTGCAGTCTCTCACTCACTCTCTCTCACACACACTCTCTCACGCATGCACATACACGCACTGAGATGCACACACGAACACCCACACACACCCATACACACACACACACTCCCTACACACACCAAGGTTATTATAGTAAACGAAAACTGAAAATAAAATAAAAAAACAATTTAGTAAACTGAAATAAAAATAGAGAAAACATTTGTAAAACTGAACTGAAACTATTATATTTCACTGCAAAATGACCTAAAATAAAAACCATCATAAAATATTTATTTTTTGTTTTTTTCTTCTAAACTTTGGGCAAAAATCGAATTGGGTTTTAAAGCTTTTTTTTTCTAATGGGGTTTTCAAACTCTGGCATGTAAATGCTGACAGTAGATGGCGATGTTTCAAATATACCTAGCTTGTGCGTCACTATCACTAGCTATCATTATCTAACAGGGAAGAAATTCTAGGGCGAGCACGGCCTGGACTGGGCCAAGCTAGAACAGTTGCTGGAGCCGTTCGCAATCCACACCGACCAACTTCAAGCTGACAGCCAGTCGCTGTCTAATGTGGTGCCGTGCCTTCTCAACCTATCCACACCGACCAACTTCAAGCTGACAGCCAGTCGCTGTCTAATGTGGTGCCGTGCCTTCTCAACCAATCCACACCGACCAACTTCAAGCTGACAGCCAGTCGCTGTCTAATGTGGTGCCGTGCCTTCTCAACCAATCCACACCGACCAACTTCAAGCTGACAGCCAGTCGCTGTCTAATGTGGTGCCGTGCCTTCTCAACCAATCCACACCGACCAACTTCAAGCTGACAGCCAGTCGCTGTCTAATGTGGTGCCGTGCCTTCTCAACCAATCCACACCGACCAACTTCAAGCTGACAGCCAGTCGCTGTCTAATGTGGTGCCGTGCCTTCTCAACCAATCCACACCGACCAACTTCAAGCTGACAGCCAGTCGCTGTCTAATGTGGTGCCGTGCCTTCTCAACCAATCCACACCGACCAACTTCAAGCTGACAGCCAGTCGCTGTCTAATGTGGTGCCGTGCCTTCTCAACCAATCCACACCGACCAACTTCAAGCTGACAGCCAGTCGCTGTCTAATGTGGTGCCGTGCCTTCTCAACCTATCCACACCGACCAACTTCAAGCTGACAGCCAGTCGCTGTCTACAGTCGCTGTCTAATGTGGTGCCGTGCCTTCTCAACCTATCCACACCGACCAACTTCAAGCTGACAGCCAGTCGCTGTCTAATGTGGTGCCGTGCCTTCTCAACCTATCCACACCGACCAACTTCAAGCTGACAGCCAGTCGCTGTCTAATGTGGTGCCGTGCCTTCTCAACCAATCCACACCGACCAACTTCAAGCTGACAGCCAGTCGCTGTCTAATGTGGTGCCGTGCCTTCTCAACCAATCCACACCGACCAACTTCAAGCTGACAGCCAGTCGCTGTCTAATGTGGTGCCGTGCCTTCTCAACCTATCCACACCGACCAACTTCAAGCTGACAGCCAGTCGCTGTCTAATGTGGTGCCGTGCCTTCTCAACCTATCCACACCGACCAACTTCAAGCTGACAGCCAGTCGCTGTCTAATGTGGTGCCGTGCCTTCTCAACCAATCCACACCGACCAACTTCAAGCTGACAGCCAGTCGCTGTCTAATGTGGTGCCGTGCCTTCTCAACCTATCCACACCGACCAACTTCAAGCTGACAGCCAGTCGCTGTCTAATGTGGTGCCGTGCCTTCTCAACCTATCCACACCGACCAACTTCAAGCTGACAGCCAGTCGCTGTCTAATGTGGTGCCGTACCTTCTCAACCTATCCACACCGACCAACTTCAAGCTGACAGCCAGTCGCTGTCTAATGTGGTGCCGTGCCTTCTCAACCAATCCACACCGACCAACTTCAAGCTGACAGCCAGTCGCTGTCTAATGTGGTGCCGTGCCTTCTCAACCAATCCACACCGACCAACTTCAAGCTGACAGCCAGTCGCTGTCTAATGTGGTGCCGTGCCTTCTCAACCTATCCACACCGACCAACTTCAAGCTGACAGCCAGTCGCTGTCTAATGTGCTGCCGTGCCTTCTCAACCAATCCACACCGACCAACTTCAAGCTGACAGCCAGTCGATGTCTAATGTGGTGCCGTGCCTTCTCAACCAATCCACACCGACCAACTTCAAGCTGACAGCCAGTCGCTGTCTAATGTGGTGCCGTGCCTTCTCAACCTATCCACACCGACCAACTTCAAGCTGACAGCCAATCGCTGTCTAATGTGGTGCCGTGCCTTCTCAACCTATCCACACCGACCAACTTCAAGCTGACAGCCAGTCGCTGTCTGATGTGGTGCCGTGCCTTCTCAACCTTGACACTTGCAGTCAACTACTGTTGCAAAACAGTTGACACAGGTCCTCCTGAAGTCACTGCGTGAGCGCTTCGCATGCATACTGAATCCTCTGGCAGCCAACTTCGATCCAACCCCTGCAGCAGGTTGCCTGATTTGAGATGGAGCCACTGATGAGGGAAGCAGTCTTTTGTACTTCAGCAACCAGAGAGTACAGCCGTGGAGAAGCAGGATCCCTGCAAGGTGCCAGCACGTTGAATCCAGCAACCATCTCGCCCACAGTTCTTCAAAAATATAGCTTCCTCACATTGAAGATTGTGTCTGAGGTCACTGTCCAGCCGCAGGGTGAACCTGGCAGGGCATTAAGTGCCCTGTGTGAGCTGTGAAGGGGGGCATGTTTACAGAGTCACCTCTCCAGTTCTGGCAGGCAAGGATGGCTGTTTATCCAAAGCTGTGTCCTGTGGCACTGGATCTGGTGTCTGCCCCTGCATCCCAAGCGTTCATGGAGAGAATATTCAGCTTGTCATCAGGCTTGAGAAACCGAACGACCACCTCCTCTGGAATGCAGAGGTTTTTTGAAGATAAACCAGACAATCTAGTTTGGTTGAACAGAAACACACACACACACTGGCTGGCTGTGAACTGATATATTTGTGAAGAAGTGTTTTATTACTTATGTTTTAGCTGTTGTTGTAGATGGTTTTTATTAACCCTATTTGAAGGGGGTAGTCAGTGATGCATGTTTAATATTACATAAACATAACATGTCAAATGTGCTATAACTTCATTTGTTGTTTTTCCTCTCTCTTTCTGTCAGATAAAGGTAAAGGTACTTGATTCTTCTTACATCTACTACTAAAGTTTTAAAAAGCATTGGATTGATGTAAACATGGTTGAGAGTTTCCTTCCACCATATTTCTTCCACCAGTCTCTTATCCTTTAAGTCACATTAGGAATGTTTTATAATTTAAACCTAACCAAACCTATGTGCTGGCCATGGGGTTGTATGGAGTCCTCTAGTGGCCAAAAGCCTGTGTTAGCATGGGCAGCACCATTGAGGCCTTTCGCCATTTTGATTTAGTCAACTGGGCAGGACTTCGAACTTCATTGGCTGATGCCTCCTGATAACCCGGTTGGCGTCGTGACAGCTGGGTCATCAGGAGGGATCAGCCAATACATTTTACCTGTGAAGAAAATATACTATTTCCAAGATGGAGAGGGCCTTAATGGGGCTGCCCAGGCTCGCACAGACACCATCATGACACTGATACAGAGATGTTATGTCTATCCAAGTCTATGGTCCTGGCCCATCACCTTATGTATTACTGCCCCCCAGTGGCAAGAAGTGACACTGGGGGGCATCAGTCAGTAAGGACTTGGTCCCTTCCCATCTCTCTACTCACCAACTAACTCACTCAGTCCGTAAGGACTTGGTCCCTTCCCATCTCTCTACTCACCAACTAACTCACTCAGTCAGTAAGGACTTGGTCCCTTCCCATCTCTCACTCACCAACTAACTCACTCAGTCCGTAAGGACTTGGTCCCTTCCCATCTCTCACTCACCAGCTAACTCACTCAGTCCGTAAGGACTTGGTCCCTTCCCATCTCTCACTCACCAGCTAACTCACTCAGTCCGTAAGGACTTGGTCCCTTCCCATCTCTCACTCACCAGCTAACTCACTCAGTCCGTAAGGACTTGGTCCCTTCCCATCTCTCACTCACCAGCTAACTCACTCAGTCCGTAAGGACTTGGTCCCTTCCCATCTCTCACTCACCAGCTAACTCACTCAGTCAGTAAGGACTTGGTCCCTTCCCATCTCTCACTCACCAGCTGACTCACTCAGTCCGTAAGGACTTGGTCCCTTCCCATCTCTCTACTCACCAACTAACTCACTCAGTCCGTAAGGACTTGGTCCCTTCCCATCTCTCACTCACCAGCTAACTCACTCAGTCAGTAAGGACTTGGTCCCTTCCCATCTCTCACTCACCAACTAACTCACTCAGTCAGTCAGTAAGGACTTGGTTCCTTCCCATCTCTCACTCACCAGCTAACTCACTCAGTCAGTAAGGACTTGGTCCCTTCCCATCTCTCACTCACCAGCTAACTCACTCAGTCAGTAAGGACTTGGTCCCTTCCCATCTCTCTATTCTGTCCCCATTTCTATTTTCTCTCTCTATTTGGCAGTTGGCCCTCTCTTGGTGTTTTGGTATGCTCGCTCTCTCTTTCTCTCCTGTCTCTCTTTCTCTTCTCTCCATATTTCTCTTTCTGTATTACCCTATATCTCTTTCATGCTCACTCTCGCCTCAGTATTCTGGGCTTCGGGACATGCTCTGTGTGTCTGCCATGGTCTCTCCCATCATGTTTTGTAGTGGGGCAGAAACACACCCCTCCCTTGCTCCATTCCTCTTGGCTGAGTCTGGAATGTCCCACATGTGGCAGCCCAAACTGCCGCACCCCTACAGCCCTGCGGCAGAGGAGGCGGGAGGCCAGAGGGGAACAGGGAGGGAGGGAAGTGCAGCAGTAGAGATAGTGGTGTGCCAGTAGTGTTGTTGACTAGTCTGCTCCCTACTTTGCTATATTCTATATTCTCTCCATATCACTACTCTTACTGGCTGCACTTACTCTGGTCCTACTGACCGTTACTGACCGCTGCAGTGGTCGTGAGGCGGTCCAGCCTGGTCAATCAGTGGACTGTGGTCAGTGCCTAGTGGGCTAGTGGTCGCTCCAGCTGTGTTGAGGAAAGTGGCGCTTTGTGTTCAGGTTGCTGTCGAATTTGCACGTTTGAGTGAGTGACCGCTCTCTGACCGCTCCGTCCCATTGGCTATGTACAGGGAGGTGCGTCTGGGGAGGAACGGCGTGGAGGAGATCAAGAGACACCCCTTCTTCACCAACGACCAGTGGACCTTCGACACCATCCGAGAGAGTAAGTGTGTGTGTGTGTTTGTTCAGTCAAGCCATGTGCGTATTTGTGCGTGTATGTCTTCAGTCATACAGTGTGTGTGGTTATTTGTGTGTGTGTTCAGTCGTGTGTGTGTGTGTGTGTGTGTGTGTGTGTGTGCATGTTGTCTGTGTGCCTGTCTATCTGCCCCTCTCTCTCTCTCTCTGACTCCTTCCCAATCTGTCTCTCCATCACCCAACTTGTTATTGTCATGACTTCACACTACAGTTCATTCCCATGTAGGGAGTCTGAAGCATTGGGCTCTACTCTATCTGTGGTCTATCAGCAGAGACTGAGCAGAACAGTCACATGTCTATCATCAGCACTGCAGCACAACCCTGCATGGCCATAGGCCGTATGTACAGTATCAATCGTCTCAGAGTAGGAATAATGATCTAGGATCAGGTCCTTCCTGCTGTCCATTTTATTTGATTAATTGTGATCTAAAAGGCTAAACAGATCCTAGATCAGCACTCCCGCTCTTGATGCATACTGAACTATTACTAATCGTTCATTAAAGCATACTACACTGTGCAATGCTGTACAGACGTTCATGCTTGGTGAGTAGTATGTACTTGTCACAGAGAGAGATCGCACACATGGGCTCCTCAATCCTTCCATCCTCACTGAGTTTGATATCATGTGACAGAAATCTACTGAAAGTGTTATGGTGGGATCGCACACACACACACACACACACACACACACACACACACACACACCACACACACAAACACCGAGAGAGAAATGTTGGAAAAGCTGCTTGCAGTTATCCAGTACCGCCAGATCAAACAAGTCACTAAGGAAGGAAGGTAATAAGGAAGGAAGGGAATAAGGAAGGAAGGGAATAAGGAAGGAAGGGAATAAGGTAGGGGTCATAGCTGTGCACTTACACACTCCCCACCATGGATTTAAAAGCGTAGGATTGGTGTTAGCATTGGCTGGGGGAAGTTTCCACCATTGCCAAATCAATGGGAGAAAGTCTGCAAGTGGATAAGGATGGAGAATCGGAAGGCAGTCTCACTCTCTCAAGTCTGCTCATTAGCTAGCAGGCTAAAGCGGCCCCATTTCTGACTGTTGCCTGAAATAAAGCTGTAAAACTCTCGGATGTGGGAGACTGGGGCTGCGTCTCAAATGGCACTCTATTCCCTACATAGTGCACTACCCTATGGGCCCTGGTCAAAAGTAGTGCCCTATATAGGGAATGGAGTGCCATTTGGGACGCAGCCTGGGTGCTAGCAAGCATGATGGAGCAAGGGAAAGAGGGAGGGGGGTGGAGGTAGCCCCCCCTAGGTTCTGGCAGGGCTGGGTTGAAGTAATGAGAGGGGGCGCCCCAGAACCGCTGCACCAGGCCCCAGATCAGATTCGAGGGCGGTCGCTCCCTCCTCTCTCCACTCTCACTGTGGCCACAGCTGCCTGTCATTAGCCTACCCGCTATCAGGGAGCATGCTGGGAAAGCCGCGTCGCAATTGGCCTCCACGGTGCCGGGACCGTGTCTCTCTCTCTCCAGTCTCACCGCACAGCTCTTGCTTTTCGCTTTTTCTTTAATTCCCTCTCTTTTATTGCTCCCTCTCTCATTTCTCTGTCTCTCTCTCCTGTCTTTCATTCGTCCACCATCTCTTGATCTCTCCCTACTGAGGGTTCTGTCTTGACTTGGTTCTCTTTGCCTGGAGCCAGAATGGATCCTGTTGAAGAAATAAGATCCAACATGGCCGCTTAGTTTCCTAGCCATCAGTGACATCTTTTTAGGTTGTCGAGCAACTGGGCTCTGCTCGGCTCAGCTTTCGCCTCCTGGCCCCTTGACACATTTCTGTCTGGCTACTGTACAGCCGGAGGCCTTTAAAAGAGCAGAAGAAGGGGAGTTGGTTCTTTCTCTCCCAGAGTGTTTAGGCTGGGTGTGTGAAAGGCAACAGTGTGTGTTGGGGCACAAAGCGGTACTGTAGGGGGAGAGAGGAGTGGTGGGTCTGGTGTCCGCCCCACGCCAGCTCGCTCGCTCCTACTGCTTGTGCCCAGGGTGGCTCGGTGTACCACACACACACACACACACACACACACACAGACTACACACACTTAGAACATCACAGTATAGTGAAAAAATCATCTCTGATTGAGAATCGGAGGAGCCGACGGTTATCTCTGTGTTAGTGTCTCTTGATTGAGACCAGTTTTTGCACTAAGCCGAGTTGGTTGATTTTAGACATCTTTTAACCAACTATGTATCCTTCCTCTGCCCAAACCCACACTATTTCCACCCCTTCCTGTTCTCTCTCTCGCTCTCTCACACACACACTCTTTGCTTCTTTCTGACTGCATCTCTCTCTCTCTCTCTCTGCCTCTCTCCTCCCTCTCTGCCCCCATCGTCCCCTCTCTGCCTCCCTCTCTCTCTCTCTCTCTCTCTCTCTCTCACACTCTCTGCCTGTCCCTCCTTCAGCCGTGGCCCCAGTAGTGCCGGAGTTGAGCAGTGACATAGACACCAGTAACTTTGAGGAGATTGAGGATGAAAAAGGTGACGTGGAGACCTTCCCCACACCAAGGGCCTTTGTGGGCAACCAGCTGCCATTCGTGGGTTTCACCTACTTCAAAGACGACCAGTAAGGCTGATTGGTTTCTATCTATTCTAAGAGTTCAGTTTTCCATCTATACAGTGTCTGTATATAGTTATGTTATTGTTATATTTAGCTTCAGCAAGCTAGCCAATTATCCAGGAATCTGGTTTGGTTTACTACATTCTAAATTGGAATGAATTTGAATCTATGTACTGTATGTTTTTTAAGGGAGTTTTCTTGTTAGCGAACGGTCTCTGTCTTTATTCACTAGGGTATTTGTTTTTGTAAGGCTCTCTGTGCTCTGCAGGAAATGTGCTTAAGGTCCGCTCTGCCTGTAGCTAGAGAGGGATGGAGGGTGAGAGAGAGGGAGAGATTGTGTTTCACACATGTAGAACTGGAAGACTGTTTTAAGCCAGTTGTACACTGTGCGTCTGTTCCTGCTTTACACTGCCTCCTTGTTCCAATAGCCCTTCTAGTAAATCCACTAGGCTCATGATAAAAGTCTGATCTTATGATCATGATCAGTGAATGGGGATTGTAGCGCTGGAGTCTGAAGTGGGTGGGTTCTGGGTTGGGCAGGATGTGTTATGGGGTGGGATGCTGGCATGGGCACTCAGAGGGCGGGGGAGGTTGGCATGGCTGGTAGGGCACCTCAGGTAAAGCCAGTTTAAAGACCCACACCCTCTCTCCTACTCTACCAGACTGATGAGCGGTGTGAATAAAGTGATCTCTGTGAAGGAATCTGAAGACTGTTTGGATAGGTGTGAGGAAAAACAGGACAGCATCAAAGGAGAGGTAGGTTGTTGAATCGTTGCGTATATACATGTGTTTGGGTTTGTTTGCTTGTTTTAAAGCACAGCTGGGAGCAGAGGGGAAGATGTGTACTCAGAAGGCACAAGACTGACATTTGAGTCCAAATGAAATGCAATGTAGTAGCTCTCAAGACTAACCAGTACAATAGAACACTCGTATAGACAGACATAATTCTAAGACAGACAGGTTGAATAGAACACTCAATTATCAGACAGACACAATAGAACTATCTAACAGACTAGAACTCTCTGAAAATATCCCATTCTCAGACAGACAAAATAGACAGACAGACAAAACAACTGTCAGACTGACAGAACTCAGCGCTGTGATTACCAGACAGAACTGTCAGACTGACAGAACTCAGCGCTGTGTGACTACCGACAGAACTGTCAGACTGACAGAACTCAGCGCTGTGTGATTAACAGACAGAACTGTCAGACTGACAGAACTCAGCGCTGTGTGATTAACAGACAGAACTGTCAGACTGACAGAACTCAGCGCTGTGTGACTACCGACAGAACTGTCAGACTGACAGAACTCAGCGCTGTGTGACTACCGACAGAACTGTCAGACTGACAGAACTCAGCGCTGTGTGATTAACAGACAGAACTGTCAGACTGACAGAACTCAGCGCTGTGTGATTAACAGACAGAACTGTCAGACTGACAGAACTCAGCGCTGTGTGACTACCGACAGAACTGTCAGACTGACAGAACTCAGCGCTGTGTGATTACCGACAGAACTGTCAGACATATTGATACCTGAGTGTGCATCTGTTGAGCTCCATGTTAGTGTGCATACTTGTTAACTCTCCTTCCATGTCTTCTTCAGTCAGATCAGCTGCAGGAGAAGCTCCATCATCTGCAGGAGAAGCTCCATCATCTGGAGGAGCAGCTCAATCATGAGATGGAGGCCAAAGACCACCTGGAACACAAGTGCAAGTAGGGCTCACCTCAGAATACACATGTGCACACACACACATACTGCATGACTGAACACACACACACACACTCACTCACACACACATGCTCCTCTCTCCCCAGGACTACCACTAGTCGTCTAGAGAAGCTGGTCAAAGAACTGGACGAAGAGGTGAGACTGGGTGATGTGCAGTATGTATAGTTGATGGTCAGTAATGTTTTGGCACATCACACATGAACCCTTCGCTGTCCATGTAGATGAGCAGCAGGCAGAGAGTGGAGTCTTCTCTGAGGCAGCTGGAGAGAGAGAGAGCCCTGCTGCAGTACCAGAGTGCAGAGAACCTCCGCAAGGTGGAGCTGGAGGCGGACAGGAAACGCAGCCTGGAGAACGACCGTAAGCCCACGCTGTGTGACGCATGCATATGGAACCATAGAAATAGAATCAATTGAACGGATCTGCCCATTCAAGGGTTAGAGCAGCGTTTCCCAAACTTGGTCCTCAGGATCCGAAGGACACAGTTAGAGGTTCCAAGCCCTTTCGATGGATTATATTTCTATGTATGTAACATTATCTCATTATCTCAACATTCTGTCAATGAAACAGTTGTGAATCCCAACTAGACCCCCAGCCCCTACTCCCTAGCCCCTACTCCCTAGCCCCTACTCTCCAGCCCCTACTCTCCAGCCCCTACTCTCCAGCCCCTACTCTCCAGCCCCTACTCTCCAGCCCCTACTCTCCAGCCCCTACTCTCCAGCCCCTACTCTCCAGCCCCTACTCTCCAGCCCCTACTCTCCAGCCCCTACTCTCCAGCCCCTACTCTCCAGCCCCTACTCTCCAGCCCCTACTCTCCAGCCCCTACTCTCCAGCCCCTACTCTCCAGCCCCTACTCCCTAGCCCCTACTCTCCAGCCCCTACTCTCCAGCCCCTACTCTCCAGCCCCTACTCTCCAGCCCCTACTCTCCAGCCCCTACTCTCCAGCCCCTACTCCCTAGCCCCTACTCCCTAGCCCCTACTCCCTAGCCCCTACTCCCTAGCCCCTACTCCTCTCAGATCTATAGTGCCTAGAGTATAAGGGCTAGGGGTTGATTTGGAATTCAGCAATTAAGTTAGGATTTTATCCCTCCACACACTCCAGTTACCTTTACCTTTTCAGGAAGAGTAGCTGCTGCCTTGGGGATCACATAATAAATACAGATACCCAATATTCTCCTGTCCATCTATTTCCTCACCTGTACGCTTTCTCACTCTTACACACCTATACACTGATTGACCTGTCCACCTGATTGTCCTTGTCTAGTGAACAGCCTGCGGGACCAGCTGGAAGAGCTGAAGAGGAGGAACCAGACCTCTCAGATGTCCAATGAGAAGAACATCCATCTGCAGAGACAGGTGAGGCAGAACAGTCCATCTCTCTACCTTCTCTGTCACTCTCTCGCTCTCTCTCACTCCGCACTTGAGGCTACATGTGCCACCAATTCTGCACTCCTGAATTGACTAATAAAGATAAAACTCCAACCCCCCCCCCCACCCCCAGCTGGATGAGGCGACAGCGGTGCTGGCAGAGGAGCAGGAGGCGGCGGGGCGGCTACGCAGGAGCCAGGTGGAGGCCCAGAAGCATTCCCAGGCCCTGGAGCTCAGCCTCAGGGAGCTGGTGGACAAGTGCACCCAGCTGGAGAACGCCAAAATGGGCCTGGAGCAGCAGCTGATGGGCCTGCAGGCCGACCTGGAGGCCGAGAGGAGGGACAGCAGTATGGGGACAGAGACTATAGTGGACCTGCAGGGTGAGACTTGGTTGTCAAATGGACAGAGTTTGCACGTTTGTAACCATTCCATTGGTTCCATATTGACACGAGTGACAAAGGGGTAGGGTTTGCATTTCATTGGTTAAATTGCGCCAGGCAAGCTCAACCAAGCACAGCTAGGACCCAGGTCTGCCTGAGAGTACGTCACTCTTACAGAGGGACTGTGTTTTGGAAACTTTGGGACATTGGTCATTGCGTCCATTCAGTTCAGACGGGACAGTTTGGAACAGGCAAGTAATTTTGTTTGCTCTGATGTCTCATAGTTTTCCCTCTTTCAAAGTCTCCACTTGGGTGGAGTCAGGGGCAACAAGGAAAATAAACATTGACAGATGTTATTTTTACACATTAAAGGAGGGAATGAGTGAATGAATGAATACAGGTAGATGACGTAATCTCTCTCCTAGTATTCTGTGTGAAGCCTTGACTGAACAGGTGTGTGCTCTCCTTAGCTTGGTGCCCTCACAGATAGCATGATGCTGCCCTCACAGATAGCATGATGCTGCCCTCACAGATAGCATGATGCTGCCACCACAGATATGTCGGAGCGATACTAATGTCTCAAATCTCTTTTCCACACTCAATTCAATTTCAATTTAAAGGCTTTATTGGCATGGGAAACGTATGTTAACATTGCCAAAGCAAGTGAAGTAGATAGTAAACAAAAGTGAAATAAACAATAAATATTAACAGTAAACATTACACTCTCTCATTCTCCATCTCCGTTTCTCTCACTCTCTGTCTCTCTCCCTGTCTCTCTCCCTGTCTCTCTCCCTGTCTCTCTCCCTGTCTCTCTCCCTGTCTCTCTCCTGCTCTCTCCCTGTCTCTCTCCCTGTCTCTCTCCCTGTCTCTCTCCCTGTCTCTCTCTCTCTCTCTCTCTCCTCTGTCTCTCTGTTGTCTCTCTCTCTCTCTCACTCTGTCCTCTGTCTCTCCCTCTCTCTGTCTCTCTCTCTCTCCCTGTCTCTCTCTCTCTCACTCTGTCTCTCTCTCACTCTGTCCTCTCTCTGTCACTGTCTGTCTGTCTCTCTCTCAGGACATATCCAGGGTCTGGAGGAGGAGGTAAAGCAGGTGAAGTGTTCTCTCTCTGAAATTCAGACCGAGAAGAGGCAGCTGCAGCAGAGACTCACTGACAAGGAGAAGGTAAGAGGCCTGGGTGGTGATCATTAGACACCAAATGGAAGAAAACGGACTGATGCGAGTGAAATATTTCAAAATGTTTAAAAAATGTGCCATGATGAACACAACCCTCCACTCCACTCGTAAGACCTAATGAAGCCCGAGATAGCACTCGGGATCCATTAGATTTCCCCAAGCCCAAATCGACCTCTAGCCCCTACCCCCTTCTTGGGGAGATCTGAGAGGATTGAATAGGTGTGAGCAACATGAAAAATATTTTCCTATCAGAGAGTGAGATAGATCTTCTATTGATTTAAACCTATTAGAGCTAATCATCTCAAGTCCTCTCAGGTCTCTCACAGGGGCGGATGTCCCCTCTTGATCCTGTGGATGTACACATATTACAGCCACAAACAAACAAACACACAGCTGACCTTTGACCTCTGGTTGGGCCCATTAGGAGAAGAGCAACCAGGAGATTGACCTGACGTTCAAGCTCAAGTCGTTGCAGCAGAGTTTTGACATAGAGGAGGCCGAGCACAAGGCCACCAAGACACGCCTTGCTGACAAGAACCAGATCTATAAGTCCATTGAGGAGGCCAAGTCTGAGGCCCTGAAAGGTGAGAGGAAGAGAGGGGGGAAGACAAAGGAGAGGTGATTGGGGATGGATAGATGGATAGAAATGGAGCATATTAGAGAGAAATGGATGTGAAAAAAGAGAGTTCAAGAAACTACTCAGTCAATAATGACAATTTGGATAAAGATGTTGGCTAAATCACCATATTATACAATTGTCTATTATTATAATAGTTATCGTAACATTGTCTCCATCTTGTGTTTGTCAGGGATGGAGCGGACGCTGCAGGAGGAGCGGAGCTCCAAGCTGCAGTTGGAGTCCAGACTGCTGCATCTGGAGAAGGAGCACTCCATGCTGGACTGTGACTACAAGCAGGCCCAGAACAAACTGGATGAGCTGAACACGCACAAGGACAAACTCGCTGAGGAGGTGTGTGTTGGGGGTTGTGTGTGTGTGTGTCTGGGCAAGCCTGTGCGTGTCTGTACATGCCTTGTGTGTCTGTGTGTGTGTTGGGGGTTGTGTGTGTGAGAGAGAGTGTGTAGAGATGTGCGTCTATTTTGTGTTTGGTGTTTAAGTGAAGACTTCTCTCTGTTTAACAGCTGCCAACATACAGGGACCTGCAAAAATAAAGGAAACGCCAACATAAAGTGTCTTAATAGGGCGTTGGGCCAGAAAAGCTTAAATGCACCTTGGCATAGATGCTACAAGTGACTGGAACTCTATTGGAGGGATGCTCCATTCTTCCATGAAATTCCACCATTTGGAGTTTTGTTGATGGTGGTGGAAAACGCTGTCTCAGGCGTCGCTCCAGAATCTCCAACAAGTGTTCAATTGGGTTGAGATCTGGTGACTGAGATGGCCATGGCATATGGTTTGCATCGTTTTCATGCTCATCAAACCATTCAGTGACCACTCGTGCCCTGTGGATGGGGCCATTGTCATCCTATGGGGGCATAGCCATGGTAGCCAAAATAATGGCCTGTCCAGCATTTTTATACATGACCCTAAGCATGATGGGATGTTAATTGCTTAATTAACTCAGGATCCACACCTGTGTGGAAGCACCTGCTTTCAATATACTTTGTATCCCTCATTAAATTATTTTGTCAGTTACCTTCAGGTCTGACTAACATTACCATCTTGCTCCTTCTCTCTCCTCTCTCTCTGTCCTCTCTCTCTCTCTCTCTCTCTCTCTCTCTCTCTCTCTGTCTCTCTCTCTGTCTCTCTCTCTGTCTCTCTCTCTGTCTCTGTCTCTCTCTCTCTGTCCCTCTCTCTCTCTCTCTTGTCTCTCTGTCTCTCTCTGTCTCTGTCTCTGTCTCTCTCTCTCTGTCTGTCTCTCTCTGTCTCTGTCTCTCTCTCTGTCTCTCTCTCTCTCGCTGTCTCTGTCTCTGTCTCTCTCTCTCTCTCTCTCTGTCTCTCTCTCTCTCTCTCTCTCTGTCTCTGTCTCTCTCTCTGTGTGTCTCTCTCTCTCTGTCTCTGTCTCTCTCTCTCTCTCTCTCTCTCTCTGTGTGTCTCTCTCCTCTCTCTCTCTGTGTCTCTCTCTCTCTCTCTCTCTCTCTCTCTCTCCCCCCCCCCCCTTCCTTCCGCCTCTAGGTGAAGAACCTGAGCCTGGGCATGGAGCAGGAGGAGCTGAAGCGCAGGCTGAGCCAGAATGACATGAAGGCCCAGACCCAGCAGGTGACGGCCCTGCGCTCCTCAGAGAAGCAGCTGAAGCAGGAGCTCAACCACCTGCTAGACATGAAGCACAGCCTGGAGAAACAGAACCAGGAGCTACGCAGGTAGAGGGGGATACACACACACACAGTGCGGCTGGCTTGGACATAAGCATGTCAATCTGAAACAAGTGACGCACACAACTCCCACCACTTGGGCATGGGGAAGAGAGATGTGATGGCCAATGGATGTTAGATATCATGTCTGTCTGCCCCATGCCCTAAGTGGTGGGAGTTTCAGATTGACATGTGATTTGACATGGCAGTGATTGACAGTGATTTTGCCAAATCACAGGGAGAGACAGGAGGCTGACGGACAGCTGAAGGAGTTGAAGGACCAGCTGGAAGCGGAGCAGTATTTCACGGTACTGTTGATTTCTAGACACTCCCAATGTGTGGAAAGACCGGGTTGCAAAATGTTCCCTAAATTTCCAGGTTTTCCAGAAATCCTGGTTGGAATACTCCTGGGTATTTTGGGGAAGTGACAGGAATTTTGCACCCCTAAGAAAGTCTATTATTAGCTGTTTCTGTCTATTCATTCTGCTTTCCAGTGTATGGATCTGTCCCAAATGGCACCCTATTCCCTATATAGTGCACTACTTTTGACCAGAGCCCTATGGACCCTGGTCAAAAGTAGTGCACTACATATGGGATATGCTGCCATTTGGGACTTACCATAGTTGTTGACTGTTTCCTCTGTCTCAGACCCTGTACAAGACCCAGATCCGGGAGCTGAAGGATGAGTGTGATGAGAGGAACAAGCTGTATAAGGACATTCAGCAGAGACTGGAGGAGTACCAGGAGGAGAGGTACTTGAACAATAGGATCCTACCATAAACTGTTCCCTGACACTAAGGTTGCAAAATTCCGATAACTTTCCCAAAGTTCCTAGGTTTTCCAGAAATCCTAGTTGTAAGATTACTGTAAGATTTCTGGAAAATCTGGGAACTTTGGGAAAGTTACCGGAATTTTGCAACCCTACCTGACACTATTTGTTCACACTACTGAGCCAAGCCAAACTGAGCCGAGCTGTACTGGGCTGGGCTGGTTACGCATCCACTGTAGTTGCTGGAACGGACCATTTTGAAAGGAAAATATCATCTTGAACCTCTGAGCACCTCTGACAAGCTCTTGGAGATTAGTGTCATTAGCACACACTGTCTCTCGAGGACTGTAGTCTGTCCATGAAAGATTAGCTGTAGCCTGACGTAAACATGCCTTCCACACTTATCACTCAGTCAATTGCGAGATGATAGCCTGACAATACTGCAGGTAATATGATCAGCGTGTAACCTAACCTCCAGTCTACAGGCGATGTGCCATCAATCCCCATATCACCAACACTATGAGCTTTGAGCATCTGACAAAATTACGCAAGATTTTAGTTCTGGGTTAACCAAGATTAGCACGCACTGTAAAGTCACAGCCAGACTTTTTAAAGTGTGAACTCCTGTAACAGCAAGCCCGTAGGACTGTGGATAAGTGTTTCTTAGCAAGCCCGTAGGACTGTGGATAAGACAAGACATAGCATACAGACATAGCAACATAGGACAAACAAGACGTAGCATACAGACCGAGCAACATAGAACAAAAAGCAGCAAGACAAAATTCATAAAAGCAACAAAGTGTTTCCACACCTCACAAGTTACAGACAACAGACATGGAAAGCGGCAACACACAGCTAGGGACCATGTTCACAAATCTGATTGACCTTTAGCCATGTCTTCAAGCATTTTGTGAAAGTGTGATATGTGGTGCAGTTATGTGTGTCTGATGGCAGTGTATTCCAGACATGGGAAGCTCTCACAGAAAAAGCGGATTTACTAAAGGTGCTTTTCCTTAGGGGAACTACACAGTCACCTCTCATGGCAGACCTTGTGGATCTGCTGCCATATGTTTGGGTTTTCTGTTTAACAAAAATACTGAGTGGAGGGGGAGCCAAGCCATTTAGGATCTTGAATACAAGACATGCATCGGTGTATTGCACAAGATTTTCCCAACTCAGGAGCTCATGCTTTCTAAGGATGTGACAGTGATGATGGCTATTGGGCTTCCTATCAAGCACTTTGAGAGCCTGTTTGTAGACAGACTGAATAGGTCTTACTGTTGTACAGCAAGCTTGGGCCCAACTAGTCAAGCAGTATGTTAAGTGGGGGAGTATCATAGATTTGAAGTACAGTTTTGCTACCTCTGTAGTCAAACAATTTCGTATAAATCGGAAATTAGCTAGGTTGAATTTGGTTATTTGAATTACCTTTTTCACATGCTTTTTAAAAGAGAGGTTGGAATCAAGTATGATGCCAAGGTACTTAAAATCAGATACCCCCTGGAGCTTCTCCCCTGACACATAGACTTCTGGCTCAGTAGCATCTGTTGCCCCCTTTGTGAAGAACATGCAAACAGTTTTTTTCACATTGAGATGCAAACACGAGTCACTGAGCCACTTTGTAACCTGGACCATTACAGTAGTGAGTTCTTGTGCAGCTTGTTGTTTGCTCTTTGCATGCACATATATCACTGTATCATCTGCATACATTTTGAACTTCAGACCCAGTACAGACAGAAGGCAGATCATTAATGTACAGGCTGAACAGGAGGGCCCCAGTATTGACCCTTGGGGCACACCCACATCATAGCTAAGAGTGGGCGAACAGCTCATGCTCACTCTGACACACTGAGTTCTGCCTTCAAGGTATGATTTCATCCATCTCAAGGCATCGGGGGAAAAGTTGAACTTGGACAATTTTTGTGATGAGAATCTCATGGTTAACAGTAACAAAAGCCTTCCTTAGGTCCAGAAACACAGCCCCAACAATGCCCCCTTTGTCCATCTTGGACTTCACATTTTCCAGAAAAAAGCAGTTGGCCATTTCTGTGGAGTGTTTCGCTCTGAAGCCAAACTGCATGGAATGTAATGTGAAGGGGCTGTTGTTGAGGTGGGCAATCAGTTGTTCTGCTACACACTTTTCAACAATCTTTGACACCACAGGTAGTATACTAAAGTGTTTCTTAGCAAGCCCGTAGGACTGTGGATAAGTGTTTCTTAGCAAGCCCGTAGGACTGTGGATAAGTGTTTCTTAGCAAGCCCGTAGGACTGTGGATAAGTGTTTCATAGCAAGCCCGTAGGACTGTGGATAAGTGTTTCTTAGCAAGCCCGTAGGACTGTGGATAAGTGTTTCTTAGCAAGCCCGTAGGACTGTGGATAAGTGTTTCTTAGCAAGCCCGTAGGACTGTGGATAAGTGTTTCTTAGCAAGCCCGTAGGACTGTGGATAAGTGTTTCTTAGCAAGCCCGTAGGACTGTGGATAAGTGTTTCTTAGCAAGCCCGTAGGACTGTGGATAAGTGTTTCATAGCAAGCCCGTAGGACTGTGGATAAGTGTTTCTTAGCAAGCCCGTAGGACTGTGGATAAGTGTTTCATAGAAGTGGCTATGGAGCTCATTGATGGGCCTGAGCATAACGTTTGCTGAGTTTGGCAGCGCAAGATTCATGTAGGCCTTGGTCAAGTGACCGCCCTGACAAACAGTGCAGGACACTGATGTAATTTGCTCCACTTTACACTACAATATGGGAAAAAATCCCACAAACCCTGATTTTCCTGGTATTCCGTGATTTCCTTTCCAGCCTTCCAATGACTGCTCTGACATACAGTACTGGATTAGATTTGGTTTCATTAACTTTATTTTCCCATATAGTAGTGTGAGACTTTCCCCACATTCCCTGTTATTCCTGGTTTCCGGGTGTCTCTACTTCCCTACCCCGGGATTCCCTGGCGGCCGTAACAGTACTGGGCATATATTTGGTCTCGTTAACTTTGGTCTCGTTAACATTTCCCAGGTTATAGTGTCAAATTCCCAAATGTTCCCACATTCCCTGATATTCCGGGTCTTCTTTCCCTCAGGGATTCCCTGGCGGCCCAGCTGGAGGTGAGCCTGACCAAGGCAGACTCGGAGCAGCTGGCGCGCTCCATCGCCGAAGAGCAGTACTCCTACCTGGAGAAGGAGAAGATCATGAAGGAACTGGAGGTGAAGGACATGACGGCCCGACACAGGCAGGAGCTAGGAGACAAGGAGGCAACAATCGGCTCGGTGAGAAGGGGAAATGGAGAGGGGGGCAGAGAGAGAGGGAAGGAGGGGGAGAGGAAGGGAGGGAGAGGAGACATGACGGCCCAACACAGGCAGGAGCTAGGAGACAACGGGGAGGGAGAGAGAGACTGACAGAGAGAGGGGGAGGGGGAGAGCGAGACAGTGCATGATGACGTAGTGCACATAAAAATAACTTCCATGTACCAAATAATAAATACAATTTAAATGTTTTTCCATCGCATTTTTAACTCTACTGATGGTTTGTCACAAAATATTTTGTGTTGTATAGCGAATGTGCCCACTCTGGTCTTGGCATGTGCACTCTAGCCAACAGCTGGCAGATACAGTACTGGTATAGCCTACTACATGATGATTATCATGTCACCAGAATCAGACCCTCAATATTTATTAGAAAGGAGCATCAAGCTCATCACTGTGCACTTTCACCACCCTGTGAAGTTCATCATAACTTATTTCATCTGTAGCCTAATAAACTGCATGCTTTCCCAACAAGTCGTAGTGGGAGGACCACACAACATGTAATCGCGTTACTCCAACTTTACTTTGATACACACACACACGCTGTACTTGGAGTGCCTGTAACGCCGACCTGTCCTCTGCTGCCTCCTACAGCTGGAGGAGTCCAACCGCACCCTGACAGTGGACGTGGCCAACCTGGCAAATGAGAAGGAGGAGCTCAATAACCAACTGAAGGAGATGCAGCAACGTGAGTCGCCCCTCGTGTCATTGTCTAAAGACCCCTCTCCCAATGTACTCTGAGCCCAGGTTAACAGTGTCCAGAATGTAACAGAGAGGTTGTGATAATGTTTGGTGATGCTGTGTGTTGTCCAAAACGTTCCAGGGATGTTGTGAGAATGTTTGGTATTGGTCTGGTGATGCTGTGTGTTGTCCAAAACGTTCCAGGGATGTTGTCAGAATGTTTGGTATTGGTTTGGTCCACAGAGCTGCAGAAGGCCAGGGAGGACTTGAACTGTGTGAAGATGTCCTTCGAGAAGCAGCTGCAGACGGAGAGAACGCTCAAGATTCAGGTGAGGGACTGGCATTTAAAGCATACTCATTTTTCAAAATGTCACATACTATAAAACGTTCTATTTTCACATACCCAAAATGCCTACTATTTAGAACGCAAGTATGGGTATTCGGACATGGCCCATGTTATTGGTAGGGTAATGGTTAGCATAACACGCTAGCTCCTGGAGTACGAATTATAGTTGTGTTCATGTCCTGGGTTCAGCAAGAGGGAGACAGAACTCCAATGTTACATAATATGCATCTATCTATTGATTTAATATATAGGGTCAGTTGCCTAGTCCCGGACTAAAAAGCATACTCAATGAAGAATCTCCATTAAATGCGATTTTTGTTCCAGGACTAGCCTGAATCGTGTGTCTGAGAAACCAGCCCATAAAGTGTTTTTCATTGAGAATATATATTGCAGTGTGCTGGCCATTTTTCCATTCCCATAATATATTGTGTATATGTATTTATCCACCAGGCGGTCAACAAGCTGGCCGAGATCATGAATCGGAGGGAGACGTTGCGTACGGGTCACCGCGGCGATGACACGCTGGACGTGCGCAGGAAGGAGAAGGAGAACAGGAAGCTGCAGCTGGAGCTGAGGTCAGAGAAGGAGAAACTCAACTCCACCATCATCAAGTACCAGAGAGAGATCAACGACATGCAGGCGGTCAGTCTAAAACACAACCACAACCTTATACCAACCATCACACAACCACTTTAACAGGCAGTCAGTCTGTCCAACCAAAACACAACTACAACCTTATGCTAACCATCACACAACCACAACTTTATACCAAGCATCACACAACCACTTTAACAGGCAGTCAGTCAGTTCAACCTAGTGCTGAGCGATGAACATTTCGGAATTATTTTGGTTATTAAACAACTAATTGACCGACGTCTGTTCAATTACTTGAATTCCATTTGGTTCGTTTTTTTTGTGAGTCCAACGCGAGAAATCAAATAATTCACGAGAGAAATCAAGTCAAGAACTTTATGTGGGACGCTGGGCTGAAGGGAGTTGTAGTTTTCATTAAGCCAAATATTCAATCTAGTTCAGCGCAGAAACGTGGTAATTAACTACAATGACCATAATCTGCCAATTTTTTCCGTCTCGGATAAGAGGGGTCAGAGAGGAAGAGGCGAATGTAGAGGTTTTCACTGTCCGAAATAAACCCAATGTGTTCCTATGGGATTATTTTGGACCTAAGCTCGTCGCCTGCCTTCCTTCCTTTGGTACTACGACCTCTGGACGGATACACTTTTTTACGCCTGCAACATTAATTTAGATACACATAAATGAGAGAGAAATGTACACAACACAACGACCAGAGGGACAGAGACAGTTCGTGAAAGTATGCCTTACCTACTTTGAAGAACTAGTCAAATTATTTCATCATACAGCTCTGCAGCATGCTTAGCCAGGCTAGCTAAATAGGATGACTAAAGACAGTACAGTATGAGGAGAACAGAGATAACTGGCTGGCTGACTGCTACTATCTAAGCAGAGATGAGATGATGACTTTAAGGAATGAAAAATAATAAAGTTGTCAATATAGTAATATACACAACTGGACTGTTTTATTACTCCATAGTAATTTCCTATTTTTCTATTGATGTCTACCCAATGTGGACCTGACAGAGACAATGGAATATTTTCAATGTTTTGGCAATTGAATGTTCACTATTTTGGGCTTTGGAATTTACATTAAAAAGCTCTAAAATCATTGTAATGTCATTATTTTATATGCATTTAATACTTTTTTAAATAACCGAAACCGAACCCACCTCAAAAAGCACTAATCCCTCAGCACTAGTCCAACTAAACGCAATCACCACGTTAAACTCAGCATCACACAACCACTTGTTGCTGTGAACGTTTCACTATGAGAGCATGTTGTTATTATTACTAGGTAGTGGTGTGGGGAGTGAGGCCAGTTGGCTGTAATGGCCTCCCACAATTACATCGATATGAAGACACCAGTAAATCCTACCTAACTGACACTCTTTCGGCTAAAGTCCAAAATCTGTGTGTTTCCACCTCCAGGTGATATCGGACGAGAGCCAGGTGCGCATCGAGCTGCAGATGGCCTTGGATAGTAAGGATAGTGACATCGAGCAGCTGCGCTGTCAGCTGACCTCTCTGAGTGTCCTCTCCATGGACTCCACCAGCATCAGCAGCGGCAACGACCTGGACATGGACGACAGCGGTTACCCAGGTAACAACACTTTCAACACCCCTCACTTCAACACTGGCCACTTAACACTGTTAGTCACTCCTCCCCCATCTCTGTGCTGTCTCTTTCCACAGTATTTCTTCTCTCTATCACTCCCTCTATCCTCCCCTGTCTCTCTGTCTCAACACAATGTCCCTCACACGTTTATTTCCCCCCCCCGTCACTCCTTTATGGCCTATCCCACCCCTTCTTTCACTATTCCTAAACCTCTGCTTTAAGATACACCTGTTATTCGTTATTCCTGCCTGTTTTCCCTTCTTTCTGTTTCTCTTCACTATCCATTCTCTCTCTCTCTCTCTCTGTTGTGTCGGCGTAGTGCACATCACTCACTCCCAGACCTCTGAGTCCATGTCCTTCCACTACCAGCGCACGCAGAAATCTGTCAGCATTGCCAGCCGGCCCTCCTTCAGAGTATCAAACCCTCTCTTTGGCTCTGACTCTGAGAATGAGGAGCAGGAAGAGGAAGAGTATGAAGGAAATGACGGGCGGTTAGAACATGGCCTCCAACCTTTGGCCCTCACCTATGAGCAGCCGCCCGCAGAGTCTGACCGCAGTGGTGCAGGTGAACCCGCATGGTGGTTCAAAGTTCAAACACAACGGATATAGTGGCCAAAATGCGCACCCTCCTCTGCTGTCTGCCTAACACTACTGGCAGTGGCTTTGCAATGCTACTAATACTGCTTGGTGTTTTGCAGCTGTGTGCGGAAAGTTGCTGCCTAACATTTTGTGGCCCCTGTTAACCTTGAGTTGAGTCAGCTCAAACTACAGTATGTGGACTGTCCAAACTTTTTTCCTGTTGGAATGGATCCAGTGTAGCTGAGCTGCATCTGAAATGGCCCTCTGTTCCTTATATAATGCACTACTTTGACCCAAAATGAGCGCACTATGTAGGGAATAGGGTGTCATTTCGAAACAGCCCTGCTTTGTTTCAAGCACCGTTGGTAGATGATACCAAAATACAATTGCAAGGAAGGCATGTAAAAAAATGTGTATAGAGATAAAGTAATTGGCTACATGGCATAGTATGTTTCACGCAACGTGTTGGTTTCGACAACAGTGGTTTAACTTGTTGAGACAACGAAGTGTGCCATGTGGATTGGCTCCTAACCTCTGCTACTTCTCTGCAGTATGGAATATACTGGAACTGTGTATTGCTCTTATTTGCTAATGTAATTCCGGTTTCCTGTATGCTAAACAGATACCAGGCTGGAGGGCTGGCTGTCACTTCCTGCCAAGAATACCAAGAGGTTTGGTTGGGATAGAAAGGTATGGTGCTCCCTCTGTCTCCGACTATCCTTCTGCTAATGCAGTCCTGGGTTCTAATAGTATTTGAAATGCTTTATCTGCGATTGATTGAGCTCGCTTGGCTCAATGAAACAAATGGAATAGTCCCAAAAGTGTAAACGACACCCATTTGGCACTCCATGCAGGCTCAATCAAACACTCAAAAGTATTCAAAAGAAAACAATACTATTTGAACCCAGGTCTACAGACATTGATATTTCCCCCAGCAATCGAGATGATAAAAGTAGTCTGACTGTGATTCTTGCCCTTGCTCTTCTTTCTGTCTCTGACAGTATGTGGTAGTGAGCAGTAAGAAGATTCTGTTTTACAACAGTGAGATGGACCGAGAGCAGTTCAACCCATTCATGATCCTAGACATCGAGTGAGTGACGACCTCCTCATTCTTATGTGGCTCTGTCCGCTCCCAAATGGCACCATATTCCCTATATAGTGAACTACATTCGACTAGAGCCCATAGGGCTTTGGTCAAAAGTAGTGCACTATGTAGCTAATAGGGTGCCATTTGAGATGCATCCTCTCTGTTTTCGTCCCATGCATTTCTATGGCCTCCGCTGATAAAGACCAAGTGCTTGTATTGAGATGCCTATCATAACCTAGTTCTCTCATTCTTTCCTCCTTGCAGTAAGCTGTTCCACATCCGACCGGTCACTCCGACAGACGTGTACCGCGCAGATGTCAAAGAAATCCCCCGGATATTCCAGGTAACATAACTCACAGACACAAATATCGTTTTTACTATTCAAAGTTGAGCCAGCTGGACTGGTTTCGCATTCTTCTATGTTTTGAGCAGTAGAAAACCGGTAATGGTGAGTTTCACTTCTCTCTTGCCTGTCTTCCCCCTCACAGATTCTGTACGCCAACGAGGGCGAGAGCAAGCGGGATCAGGAGTTTGCAGTGGATCCGCTGGCTGACGAGCGCTCGTCCTACGTCAGGCACAAGGGTCACGAGTTCATCCCCACGCTCTACCACCTGCCGTCGAGCTGCGAGGCGTGCACGCGGCCCCTTTGGAACGTGTTCAAGCCGCCGCCCGCACTGGAATGCCGCCGCTGCCACACCAAGTGCCACAAGGACCACCTAGACCGGAAGGAGGAGGTCATCGCCCCCTGCAGGGGTCAGTAGAGGGCAAAGGTCACATCTGGGGGGGCCGGGGTTCAAATACTGTTTGAAATCTTTCAACAACCCAAACAAATATTGAGCATTTGCCCGAGCCTGCTTTGAGCGCCAGATGGGCGGGGTTTGCACTTTTGGGACTATTCCATTGGTCCCATACCGCCAGGCAAGCTCAATAAAACATTGATTTCAAATATTATTTTAACCCTGGTCTGCTAGGGTTAGAGGAGGGAAGGGTTGAATAAAAAAAAAATTAAACAGTCTTTAGAATGTTAGTCCCTATTAGTATTGTTAACCAATATATAGCACAGTTCATAATAGTACCTATTTATGACAGTTTTTTTTTTTTCTTCTACCTGTTTTAGAGTGTATTGAGTAACCTTAACCCTCGTCCCTCCTCAGTAAACTACGACATGTCCACGGCCAAAGACCTGCTCCTATTGGCCGGCTCTCAGACAGAGCAGAAGAGATGGGTCAGCCAGCTAATCAAACGCATCCCCCGGAAACACCCCGCCCCTGGCCCCGCCCCTACTGCAGCCTCCGCTGCCCAAGCCCCCGAGCCACCCTCTCGCTCCTCCCCCCGACTCTCCCCACATGCCTCCCCCCGCAACATCCCCCAACTCTCCCCCCACTCCTCCCCCCACTCCTCCCCCCACTCCTCCCCCCGCAACACCCCTAGCCTTTCCTACCGTGGAGCTATCAAGATCCAGCCCAGCCGCCAGCAGACTCAGCCTGCAGGGAAGCCCAGGTGAGACTATGGATGGGGTTTCAGACATGGGTTTAACTAGGATTGGAAATCTTTCAAATACTTTGAACGTTTGCTTGAGCCTGTCTGAAAAGCCAGATCGGCAAGCTCAATCAAGCGCTTTTGAAGGATTTGGAAAAATGTTGTGTAGTGTAGGAGTGCACTTTCCACAGTAATCACATAATGGTTACTTGTCTTTTAGACCAGAGTTATCTTGCTTAGTTTCATGCCAGTTTATGAGCTAATAAGTAACTTAGCTAACTTAACTTATAAACTAATCTGCAATCTTGGCATAATGTTCTTGGTGCTGCTTGAATCTTTTATGGACAATAGTTATCCCAAACTGAGTCACATAATGTGTGCCGGTTTCCCGGACAAAGATTATGCCTAGTCCTGGACTTACACACACTTTCAATGGAGATTCTCAACACTAACCCTTCTCAAATAAACAAAGCCATGTTTGTGTCATCAGTGTGAGGTCCATCGTTCACCTCAGCAATAAATACGAAGGGTATCGAAAACTTCAGAATGCTGGAAAACTCATTTACTCACATGCTCAACTAGCTCCTAACTCACTCTCTTCCACTGGCCACTTCCCTTAGCGCTGGCCCCATGCTCAGAATCATCCTCCACTGACCCTTGACTCCTCACCTTTGACCCCCCCATCATACTAGTGCTAATCACTCTGCTAGACTGTAAGTAGCAGACCCCAGTCAGTATTGTGTGTGTCTGTCTGCTGCACTGCCTGCCATGTCGTCTCCACTAACCACCCCCTCTTTCAACTTATCCTCCACCCTCTGCCTCATGTCATGCATCTCAAGTAACTCTACAGGGCTGACCCTATGTCCCAACGCTCTACCATTCTATCTTGGTGTGCGTATGTGCTGGACTAGGGAGTTTTGCATCATATTTCTTACACCAGTCTTTTCTTTTTCAATCCATGAAGGTGTATAAGTGTACAGTTAGGGCAGAATGGTAGAGAATTGGGCAACTGCTCACTGTAGTGTCTGACTAAAACATGGTGCATCAATGCTGCCATGGACTTCACAGGCCTTTGTAACATTGTTACAAGTCCCTTCCGGGCCATGGGTTGACGCCAGGGCGACTCCCTCTACCGTTTCAGATTGCTTGTTGATTTTGAAAGCCTGAAGGACTGGAGTTGGTCGTTGGAGGATGTGGAGGATGACGATGATGATAATGATATGTTCGGCTTCTGAGGAAGTGAGGGGTAACTTCAGCAGTGGCTGCTGGGAAATTGAGTTTTTGTGTGGAGTTTGTTGGAGGCCTTGAGGCCTGATGCATGTGTGGCTCCATTGGTAAGAGCATGATGCCTCAGTCGTAGGTTCAATTCTGGGAGGGATCACATAGACTAAAAATGTATGCACTCACTGTACTGTATAAAAGTGTCTACTAAATGGCATACCGGCATTATCATCATATTATGCATGTTTTGTGTGATTTCAATAGGGGCATTATGCATAATTGATTGCCAGTAATGGTTGGGTTGTGTAGAGCTTTGCACTTTCTGATTGCAGTCACTTTGAGTTGGACATTCACTATAATATGATGATGATGATATCTGCTGAAGATCCCACCACAGTCAGTGTTAATGTGTGTTTGAATTGTCAGAGAAGATCGACAAATCTTTGTTAAATTGCATGCTGTGTGCTGCTTGTTTGTGGTGTTGATGGCTGGTGTTTTGTTATCTGTTTGGTGTCTGTGGTGTTGATGGCTGGTGTTTTGTTAGCTGTTTGGTGTCTGTGGTGTTGATGGCTGTTGTTTTGTTAGCTGTTTGGTATCTGTGTCCGTTGTGTTGATGGCTGGTGTTTTGTTAGCTGTTTGGTGTCTGTATGTGTTGATGGCTGGTGTTTTGTTAGCTGTTTGGTGTCTGTGGTGTTGATGGCTGGTGTTTTGTTAGCTGTTTGGTATCTGTGTCCGTTGTGTTGATGGCTGGTGTTTTGTTAGCTGTTTGGTGTCTGTAGTGTTGATGGCTGGTGTTTTGTTAGCTGTTTGGTATCTGTATGTGTTGATGGCTGGTGTTTTGTTATCTGTTTGGTGTCTGTGGTGTTGATGGCTGTGTTTTGGTTAGCTGTTTGGTGTCTGTATGTGTTGATGGCTGGTGTTTTGTTAGCGTTTGGTGTCTGTGGTGTTGATGGCTGGTGTTTTGTTAGCTGTTTGGTGTCTGTATGTGTTGATGGCTGGTGTTTTGTTAGCTGTTTGGGTGTCGTATGTGTTGATGGCTGGTGTTTTGTTAGCTGTTTGGTGTCTGTATGTGTTGATGCTGGTGTTTTGTTAGCTGTTTGGTGTCTGTATGTGTTGATGGCTGGTGTTTTGTTAGCATGTTTGGTGTCTGTATGTGTTGATGGCTGGTGTTTTGTTAGCTGTTTGGTATCTGGTATCGTGTTGATGATGGCTGGTGTTTTGTTAGCTGTTTTGGTGTCTGTGGTGTTGATGGCTGGTGTTTTGTTATCTGTTTGGTGTCTGTATGTGTTGATGGCTGGTGTTTTGTTAGCTGTTTGGTGTCTGTATGTGTTGATGGCTGGTGTTTTGTTATCTGTTTGGTGTCTGTATGTGTTGATGGCTGGTGTTTTGTTAGCTGTTTGGTGTCTGTATGTGTTGATGGCTGGTGTTTTGTTATCTGTTTGGTGTCTGTATGTGTTGATGGCTGGTGTTTTGTTAGCTGTTTGGTGTCTGTATGTGTTGATGGCTGGTGTTTTGTTAGCTGTTTGGTGTCTGTATGTGTTGATGGCTGGTGTTTTGTTAGCTGTTTGGTGTCTGTATGTGTTGATGGCTGGTGTTTTGTTAGCTGTTTGGTGTCTGTATGTGTTGATGGCTGGTGTTTTGTTAGCTGTTTGGTGTCTGTATGTGTTTGCACGCACACAGTTATGTGAATAATCCAACTTAATCTAGCAAAATGCCTTATTTATTTATCTCTTCACAGTTTACCTCTATGATACAAAGATGTGGTGAATCCTCTCTGACTGGAGGCTGAACACACAGTGGAACATATACATCTACTTTGCCTGTTCGGAGACAAAGGGAGTGTTTCAAATGGCACCCTATTCCCTATATAGTGCACTACATTTGACCAGAATAGGGTGCCATTTTGGATACAACCAAAGATTGCAAAACGCCAAGCATGTACGGATTTTTTAGGGGAAGAGGATCAGGTTAACGTTGCATTCATGTAAGGACTGCAGTCGGATTCGCATATGTCTCAGTAAACCAAATGGTTTCACCTTTTTGCCCTCTACAGTATAGCCTGGCCTTAGATCTGTTTGTGCTGTCTTGCCAACTCCATTGCTGTGCTATTGTCGCGCCAATGGCAAGACGGCACAAACAGATCTGGGACCAGGCTTCATACACTATGCATGTCATAGCAAGTTTGTACAATCCCATGATTTCATGGATCGAGAAAATTGAATACTTTGCAGGTCGCTCTAAAACTGCCTTATTTTATAAATGTCATGATGAAATACATACAGACCCATCCATATATCTGCCTGTGTCTTTACATGCCTGGGTGATCCTCATAAGCTATATTATTAGATGGGTCTGTATTGTGTGTGCGTGTGTGTGTGTGTGTGTGTGTGTGTGGGGGGGGGGGGGGGAATAAATGTTCTGTCAGTGTATTGCCACATATATGTGACAGTTTTTTATTTTTGCGAAAACTAAATATTTCACTGCACATATCTTATTCCCTGTAATGTTACAAGATAGGCTACGTATAAAAAATATAATTTTAAAGAGTGATATCTGAGTTCAGTCTACAATTGATACTTAGTTGAGTGTATTGCTTCATTCAGATCATGTTACATTATCAGAGTAAAGTGTTTGTATCCTGGTCCCAGGTCTGTTTGTGCTGTCTTGTCAACAACACCAACCATAGGGGCAAGACGGCACAAACGGATCTGGAAACAGGCTAAAGTGTTTGTCTTTTTGACCGAATGTGAACCATGTATATGGGAATATTCTTCCGCAGTCGCCCCAATGGTATAGGGGTGAAGTTACCCCTGGACGCTGATCCTGGGTCAGTTTTGTATTTACCCCACTAATGGTTAAGGTTAGGATTGGGGGAGGGGAAGCTGATCCTAGATCTGTACCTAGTGGAGTCTTCACCCCGGAGCTTCTCGCCATCAGTTCGCAGGCTTCAGTAAACAATGCTGACCCTCAGACAGAACTGTAACAATATATTTCATATTTATGTTCTGTATTGTACTGTATCACTGCCTGTCCACTACATGGCTTGTTTAAAAAAATCTGAATAAATACTGTACTGGATAAGACAGAGAATCAGAATAAATACTGTACTCTATAAAACAGAATCTGAATATATACTGTACTCTATAAAACAGAGAATCTGAATAAATACTGTACTGGATAAGACGGAGAATATTCTTTATTGTGTGTGTACTTGTATTGCCCATCATTTTGCTTTGGAAAAGTTAAGACTTTTTTTTCTATAGGTTGCCCGAATACCATGTTCTGGGACCAAAAGACCAGTGGGTAAGACATTGTTAGTGGTTTCACAAGTCAGGGACATATTCATTAAGGGCACATGATAGAAAACATTTTCCAGTTAGTCCCTCCCTGTTTCATTCCGTGTTCTTCCGTTTGGTGCCTGAAGAGCATAACCCAGGTGACTGACAGACTCTCGTCTCCAAAGCTCATTCCACTTTTTTGACATCTCTTCTGTAGTGGAATATCATGGCCAGCACAAATCCATTGAGCGATGACAAGACCGCAAACCGGGTAAGAACTGGAGGAATCAAAGAACCAAAGGCCACAAACTGATCACTGTGGGCTCACTTCCTAATGTTTATAACCTCAAACTTCTGTTGAACTTTCAGAAA